TATTACTCCCGCACAGGGACAACTCTGATGGGTCATGTACGCACCAGCTTCCCTGTGGAGTTGGCTGAGGTCAGCCTGCATTGCAGTTCTACCTCTCCCTACCAACCCTGCTTTCCCCTCTCTCCCATTAGTTATGATAAACTCCATCTCACTATCTGCTCCCAAAGACCCAGTCAACAAGAGCTCCCAGAAATCTCTCTGAGGAACCCCCAGTGGACTGAGAAAGCTTCTTCGGTAGCCCTGATTCTTCTTACACGTTTCTAGTTTCAAAGTTCAGCTTCCCGTTGTATATTCCTGACAGCACGGAAAATTCAACAGGTCCATATCACCAGTCTCTTAGGTTCTTGCCACAGAAAACGGCTTTTTTTTTTTTTTCTGTTTTAGAATGGCACTACCATTGTATTCCCACAGCAGCAGCAGATGGGAGGTGATTTTGATTCTTCACTCACCTCGCTCCTCACAGCCAGTTTATGATTCAGGCTTCCTCACAAGGAGAGGTCTGTGCTCATTTCTTCAGGGATCCACTTCCCTTTAAATAAGGGATGCTGCTGAAATTATAATGGAGATCTCTTTGCTCTTGGGATATGTCTTCTTTTCAATAGTTATGGGTTTCCCTTCTCTTCAGTTCCACAGATTTTTAAGGACAAATAAAATGCCCCCCACCCCCGACCAAAAGACATCTACACAAAATTTCAACCCACAATCTCCTACTTATCTTGGAGCACAATATACTGGTTTGCATATTAAATAAAAGGGGGAAAATGCTAAAGGCTTCACTCTCCCTTCTTCCATCAGCATTAGTGTAGTGCAGTCATTAGAACAAAACACTTATTTTGTTCCAGTTAAAGGTGAAATACATTCAATTTTTCTTTTATCTTTGATATTGCACTAAAGAGTCATGAAAGCCAAGTCTTGAAAAATGCCAAAATAACAATTTTATATAATATAAATACAGACTAAAACATGTAAATGTTATGTATTTTAAAGTCTATGAAAACATACATTTTTTTAAAGCAGTCAACTCATTGAAAGATACTAATATTTAAAATAGAAAGTTGTGTTGTCTGCTGAATATGAGACTCTGAGGTATTTGTGAGCGAGAAATTGTCAGGAAAGCAGTAGAACATTTCCTGCCCGTGGGTGCAGTCTTGAGGATTTGTAATAGTCATGACGAATCCAAAAACCATCACCGCAGCACCAATGGGAAGCATGACATAAGACATAATCTTATCGGAGTGTGTCCTTGGTTCTTCAGACAGTTTCAGATAACAGGCTGATGGAATGATAAAAATGAGGGGAGTTGCACAGAGCACACCCTGCATGTTGAAAACAAGAAACAAGATAATGTGACTAGATGGAAACATTCTTCGGACAGCTTTGAAAAGCATTTACAAAATGTGTTTTTCATGCACATGTTAAACATGTGATAGGTTCAGATGAATCAAACAAAGGGAGGAAAAATAATTCCAAGAAAGATGTAGAAATAGGCGTTGCCTTTTCCACTGGCATATTTACAAATGAAAATAATGAAATAGTACAACAGCTTATCAGACTTAAGAAAATATTATCAGAAAATAATATAGAAAATAAAGCAGATAATAGGACTGACTTCTGCACTCTTGAAATTTCCTGTATTTTCAGTTCATCATATTTCCTTATATTCTTCATTAAAACTATTGTGTATCCACTATGCCTTTCAAACACGAACGGTCTATTTGTCATTTGTGTATAAGAGGGAAATTTTGGAAAATTGTATAGGGGCCATGATGTCTTTCTTCTTTACCTGAGCTTGTATGGAAGTTGTGCCTATCTGTGTGAGAAAGAAAAACCATAACCCTAAGGCATTTAACATGAAATAGCATTTCTAAATGCTCTTTCAAATAAAACTAAGCACATTAATTGCTGAGAAAGTTGACAGCAGAGCTAAATGACTATAACTCATTCACCGTTGCCTGCATTAGCTAGGAATAAAGCCAGCCTAAGGAGGAATGTCAGATTTAAAATAATGAGTGGTAGAATTGTCTATTATAAAAAATACCAACAGCTATGGATGTCAAAGGAAGAGACTTTCCCCTTGAGTAGGCCTAATTCGCAATAGAAACTTAGCAAATAATATAAATGTTAACATTTAATACATTTTAGGTAATATGTTTTTCTAATTATGTTAAATTTTAATTATAGTATATTTAACAATGTAACATACATTAAAATTTTATGACCGATATTCTCTTAAACCATAAAACATGTTTTTTAAAAATAAATTTTATTGTGTATATTTGAGGTTTATAACGTGATGTCATAGAATACATATAGATAGTAAAATGGTTATTGTATTGAACTAACATATCTATCATCTCACATAATTATTTCTTTGGTGATGAGAGCAGCTAATATCTACTTATTTAACAAAAGTCCCAAATATAACACAATTTTATAAATTACAGCCCTCATATTGTACATTAAATCTGTAGACTTGTTAATCCTACATATCTGCTACTTTGAATTCTTTGACCTACCTCTCTACATTTCCTCCTTTTGTTTCCTGTCCCTAGTAATCACGGTTTTATTCTTTTATCTCTAACTCTATATATTAGACATTTAAAAAAATATTCCATACATAAGAGAGATCATGTAATGTTTTGCTTTATGTGTCCAGCTTATTTCACTTAACGTTCTTCAGGTCTATTCATGTTGTGGCTAATGGCAGGATCTCCTTTTTCAAGGCTGAATAATATTCCATGTTATAGACAGATCTATATGACATTCTCTGTATCCATCGATACATCAATGAACACTGAAGTTGTTTCCATCTCTTCACTATTGTGAATAATGCTTCAATGAATGTGGGAGTATAGATATCTTTATGAGGTGGTGATTTCATTTTTTTTTTGAGTATATACCCATAATAGAGATTCCTGGGTCATATGGTGGTTCTATTTTTAATTTCTTTAGGAACCTCCATTCTGTTTCCCATATTGACTATTCCAATGTACATTCCCACCAGCAACGTACTAGGGTTCCCTTTTCTCCACACTTCTGTCAACATTTGTTATTTCTGTTCTTTTTGATTATAGCCATCCTAAAGGTTATGAAGTGATATCGTCTAGTGGTTTTAATTTGTGTTTTCCAGATGATTAATGATGTTGAGCACTTTTTTGTATACCTGTTGGCCATTTTCATGTCTTCTTTGGAGAAATATCTGCTAAGGTCTTTTGCCCATTTTTTAATCAAGTTAATCATTTTTCTGCTATGGAGTTATTAGAATTATTTGTAACTTTTTAATAGTAATCCTTTATCAGTTAGATTGTTTGCAAATTTTTTTTCCCAATCTGTACATTGTCTTTTCATTTGTTGTTGTTGTTGTTGTTGTTGTTGTTTCACTGCAGAGGCCTTTTAGTTTGATGTAGTCCTATTTATTTATTTTTGGTTTTATAGCCTGAGCTTTTAGTGTGATATTCAAAAAAATCATTTCCAAGGCTAATATCAAGGAGCTTTTACCCTATGTTCTCTTCTAGGAATTCTATAGTTTCAGGCCTTACATTAAGGTATCTTATCCATTTTGAATTGATTTTTGTGTATGGTGTAAGATCAGGGTCCGATTTCACTCTTTTGCATTTGGGAATCCATTTTTCCCAGCATCATTATTGAAGACTATCCTTTCCCCATTGTGTCCTCTTGGTGCCCTTGTAGAAAATTAGTTGACCCTATATGTTTGGATTTATTTCTTGGCTCTCTTTTATGTTCCATCAGTCTATATTTGTGTTTTTATGTCAGTACCATACTGTTTTGATTACTGCAGCTTTGTAATATCATTTGAAATCAGGAAGTGTGATGCCTTCAACTTTATTTTTCCTTTCAATACATATTGTTTTTTCTATTTCTGTGAAGAATGCCATTAGAATTTTGATAAGAATTATGTTGAGTTTGTATATTGCTTTGGGTAGTATGGCCATTTTAACAATATTAATTCCATTCACAGGATATCTTTCCATTTATTTATATATTCCATTTGTTTGTGTCTTTTTCAATTTCCTTCATCAAGATTTTATAGTTTTCAGTACACAAATTTTTCAACTCTCTGGTTAGATTTGTTCCAGAATATTTTTTGATACTATCATAAATGACATTGTTTCCTTGATTTCTTTTTCCGCTAGGTTATTATTTGTGTATAAAATGCTACTGATTTTTGTATGTTGGTTTTGTATCCTGCAACTTTACTGAATTAATTTATCAGTTCTAACACTATTTTTTGGAACCTTTGGGGTTTTCTACATATAGGATCATGTCATCCGCAAATAGAAATAATTTTACTTCTTCTTTTCCAATTTGGAAGCCTTTTATTTCTTTTTCTTGTCTGATTGCTTTTGCTAGTACTTCCAGTACTATGTTGAAGAGAAGTGGTGAGAGTGGGTATCCTTACCTTTTACTGGATCTTAGTAGAAAAGCCTTCAGTTGTTCCCTATTAATTATGATGTTAGCTGTGGGTTTTTCATAAATAGCCTTTATTATGTTGAGGACTTTTCTTTCTCTAAACTGCTAAAAGAGTTTCTATCAAGAAATGATGCTAAACTTTGTCAAATTCTTTTCCTGCATCAGTTGAGATAATCACATGTTTTTTGTTTTTTTTCTCTCTCTCTTTTTTTTTTTTATTTTTATTTTTTTATTTTTTGAGACAGGGTCTCACTCTGTTGCCTAAGTTAGAGTGCACTAGCATGATGACAGTTCAGCCTTGACCTCCCAAGCTCAAGTAATCCTCCCACCTCAGCATCCTGAGGTGCTGAGACTACAGGCACATGCTACCATGCCTGGCTAACTTTTGCAGAGACGAGGTCTCACTATGTTGCCCCAGCTTGTCTCGAACTCCTGAGCTCGAGTGATCCTCTTGTCTTAGCCTCCCAAAGTGCTGGGATTACAGGTGTCAGCCACCACACCCATCTGATCTTGTGGTTTTTGGTTTTCATTCCCTTAATATGACATTTCACAAATGTTGTTCTCTGAAATAATAAAATGTAAGTTTTTAATATATAAAATCAATAACAAATGTGATATTACTTTACAACTAAATGCAAGTTTTCATAAACTACGTTTTTCTAAATTTTTAAAGTTAATTTGTAAGCATATACAAAAGTAGAAATAGTATAATGAAAACCTATGCAACTATCACCTATGGTTTAAAAGCTTTTTGACACATTATTTTGGTAAGTTTTCTCCAGGGAAAATAACAGCAAAGTGAATTTGAAGTTGGATGATGTAAAATTATAAATTGTACCTTAAAAATAGCTTTAAAATAACCATATTCTCACACCAGTTAATAAAATTGCTGTGTGTTTTATACAAAGCACTCTCTCCATACCAGAAATATTATGACTATGATCCCAATTATACAACTTTTTGAATTTTTACAAAAACAAAAGTATCCAGAGAAAGAGTAGTAGGGACCACACTGCATGGAAAATATTTCCAAAGTAAGAGACATAAGAATGAGAAAATACCAAAAAATACCAAAATCATGTTCTAATTTAGAATATATGGAAAATATACTTTTGCCATTCATAGCACCTGAATACAAATTAATATCTACAAAGGTATACAAAAAATAAACAATTAGTTGTTATATGACTAGAATGAAATGTATTATGGATTCCATAGATTCTATCATAATATTTGGAATTAACAGTGCTTTTTAAATTGTGAAAGATACAGTAACACTTGGTCTGTATTTATAATGAAAAGTATTACCCTCTGATTTCTTTAAAATAACAATTTATGAAAACAACAAAAAGTAATTCAAATACAAATATGTGTATGTGTGTGTGTCTGTGTCTGTATATGTGTGTGTGTGTGTGTGTGTTGTAGTCTTCTCTTTGTAGGCACAAACATGTGGCTAATTCATCTGGAACTATAGATTGTGAAAGTACTATCAGAATGAAAACTGCCCCCAGCTTCTGCTAAGAAGCTGTCATCAGTCAGCCTTTTGGTATTCTTCCAAACTTAACTTGCTGTGCAGTGCGAAGCAATGGGTGTTCTGTTTGTTATAATTCTTAAGTGCTGAGAAAGTAGCAATTAGAGGAAAGACTACATAGTTCATATTTGTACTAGAAGGATTCCAGTTCAGTATCTTGTTTAGATACCAGCTACTTTCTTGATATTTAAAAACTCAGTCTTACTAAAGGTTGTTGCTAGAAGTCAAGATCAGGAGTAAAATGATAGTGTGGTTGCATCTGATCTATTCCCTACGAACTAGTCCAGATTATTTGCTCTATTTAATTAGACTTGCTTAGGGATACACCACTGGCTTTGGAATAATTTTTGAAATTGCTTGACAGGATGTAAAATCATAACTGCTTATTAAAAAGACAATAAAATATAGTCTAATTTATAAAGGCAGGACAACACTTATTAATTGATAACAACACTATGGATGTCAGGGCATTTTGCAGTTTGCTGGAGAGAAAGGACAGAAGCTATTGAAAATTTTTATTGCCAGTACAGATTGAAAAAGTGTCTGAATTTTCCTACCTGAAGAGAAATTTCTCAAATGATGCAAGGAAGCTGGAAACTAAATAAAATAATGCTTACACATCTTCTAAATTTCTACTTCATAATCAATCTAAACTCATGAAATTCACTCCAATACTTCAAAAAGAAACTCTCTCTTGCTCAGGAAGTCTTTGGCGATTGGGACTATGGCTTGCTCACCCCAAAGACTGTATTTCTCTATCTGGGCCCTTGCTGGCATTTGGCTTGCTTTCTTCCTTCCACTGTAAACCACACATAAGGCTTGTTGAGCTGGTTACGCTGGCCACAGGCACCAGCTGCTTCATTTTCTCTCTTTGTACTGCTGCAAGTAGAAACCCATAGGGCCCAATTACTGCGGATGCCTCTTTTCTCCAATAGCAACATTAGTGCTAAGATGCTGGATTCTTGTTACCAAGAATAGTGCTTATATTTATTTGATTTGCTTCTAAAATGAAACCTTTAAAACTTAGTGTGTGTTTGCTTTGGAAAAATATTTCACTGTTGTCTACTGCCATGCAAACAAGAAAAAAAAGGAAAGCAAAGTTCTATTTTTTTAATTTAATAACTAATATTACTTCAATTCATTTTATTCTGTCTTATTTGGTGATACTAAATAGTAGCATTTCCTTACTTTGCAAGACCTGATTCATCTCATCTGTGAAGCTCATTATTCTACTTATTCAGAAGCCAAAATAAAAAAGAATTCCTAAAGTACTAAAATTGTTATCTAAGATAAAAGCTATTAACTACATTTCTAAAGTCCTACAATTACTAAGATGAAAGTTATTAACTAAAAATTATTAAGACAAAAACCTTTTAGTTTCATTTTATTTCATCTCCTGGTACGTTTTAACCCATCATTAAAGTTTATCCATATGTATCATAGATTACTCTTAACCTTTCTTATAGATAAACTCAATGCGTAGATATTATAACGTTAGAAAGTGGATAGAGAAATGAGCATAATCATTTTACACAATTTAAAATCTTATGCTTAGGAAATCTCAGAGTAGTGTAATGGTTTAAAATGTGAGCTTTAGGGTCCAAATGCCTGTGTTCAAATCTGAATTTTTTTACTTGTAACTAGTATGACCTCAGACTATTTAATCATGCAGTGCCTTAGTTTCTTCATCTGTCAATTTAATATAGATAAAAGGAGATGATACTGCAAAGCACCTGGTACAGAGTAAGTACTCAATACATGGTAGCTTACATTATTATTATTATTCATTTTTTATTTTTTAAGATGGAGTATTGCTCTGTTACCCAGGCTGGAGTGCAGGGGTGCAATCTCGGCTCACTGCAACCTCTGCCTCCTGGGTTCAAGCAATTCTCTTGTCTCAGTCTCCCAAGTGACTGGGACTACAGGCATGTGTCACCACACCCAGCTAATTTATTTATTTTTTATTTTTTGTATTTTTCAGTAGAGACAGGATTTCACCATATTGACCAGGCAGGTCTTGAACTCCTGACCTCAGGTGATCCGCCTGACTCAGCTTCTCAAAGTGCTAGGATTACAGGCGTGAGCCACTGCGCCCTGTCCACATTATTATTATGAAGTGGAGCACAGCATGCTTTAAGTTATTTCTAAAGTGTTGCATGATCCAGCATGTATTAGTTACTAACAGACATGACGCTTGATTTGGCTCTATTAGACATGGTAAGTATCCACACAAAAAAGAGTTGAGTAAAGATGTGAATACGTTCTTATAAATACCAAAAGATGTACTGATGTGGAAAACACTTATTCTCAGGTGGTCTGAGAATGGAGATCCTAGAGTTTATTAATTCTTACAAAGTGCTTTAAAACTAGTATAATTGTCTTGGGCGATCAGGTCATAACAGACAATTTGGCAGTCTAGTTTTTAATGTATGTCTATATAATCAGGTTTCAAAAACAACTAAAGATCTAGTCTTTGGCCTATGCAAAATTGGGAAGAAGGTAAAAGTTACCCTTGACACTTGCTTACTTTCCTATGAGCTTTCCTTCCACTGTTGGTAGAATAGATAATTACCAGTCTCCTGAGGTTTTGGAAACTGCTCACTCCTCACTTTCCATTTACAAGAAAGTCCCCAGTAGGGTCCCTGACTGAATTCCCTCCTGCCTTTGTATGGAATTTCAAATCAAAATGGCATCTGGATGACATAGTAACTTGGGCATTGACAATAACACCTTCACCTATGCCTCAATTCTCAATGAAATGAGTAAATGATGACTTGGGATCCCATCTGTACGGGTTTGCCCTCCCTGTGGTGCATGACCAATAAATGCTAACCGGCGGTGATTCAATGAGAAATTCTGTAAGGATTGAGAAGATTAGCCACTTTGTAGTGGTAGAACAACTTCCATTCCTATCTTAGCAAATGGTATAATTATTCTAGCTCCACAAAATAAAACCAAGACGTCATTCTGCTCCCGTCTTCCCAATGGAATCTGTGTCACCAAATTGTGCCAATCTTTTCTCAAAAATGTGTTTTGGGAATCCGTTCACTTCCCTCTGTCTTCTTCTTCTTTTTCTCTTTTTTTTTTTTTTTTTTTTTTTTTTTTTTTTTTTTTTTTTTTTTTTGAGACAGGGTCTCACTCTGTTGCCCAGGCTGAAGTGCAGTGGTGCCATTGCAGGTCACTGAAACCTCTACCTCCTGGGCTCAAGCAATCCTCTCACCTCAGCCTCTCGAGTAGCTGGGACTACAGGCACGTGCCACCAAACACAGCTAATTTTTTGTAGAGACGGGGTTTCACTATGTTGCCCAGGCTGGTCTCCAACTCCTGGGCTCAAGCAATCCATCCACCTTGGCCTCCAAAAATGCTGAGATTACAGTGTGAGCCACCGTTCCCAGCCTCCTCTGTCTTCATCACCTATATTGCAGTTGAACTTTTATGTTTATTTGTGAGAATGCATAGATCCTTTCTTATCACATTCATCCTTATATTCTATTGTGTGGCACATAGTAATTAATAAATACTTGACCAGTGAATAAAGGAATTAGAAGTTGCACTGGATCTTAAAGTCTTTGTAAAATGTAGACAGAAATGAAAGAAAAATAATTGTTATAGGAAATAAAAAGCAGATAAGACAAAGAATAATGGAAAGAATTGATATGGCTTATTCACAGGCCAAAAAATAAGACTGACTAGAGCTAAGCATAGATTTTTGGGAAGTAAATGGGAAATAGTTTTACATAGAAGACAAGATTGTAGAAGCAACAGAATTTATACTTGCTCTGGTAGGAAAATGCCGATAAACTGAAAGCAGAACTTAAATATAAGATAGTTGAAACAGAGCTGGGATTAATTCAACTGTGATATTATGAGGACTTCTATTTGGATGATGGCAGTGCAGACGATAAAAGAAAGGTCTGGAGAGAGAAAAATATGTAAATAAAAAGAAATTGTGTCATAGCAAGTGAATGGATATAACTTGAATCCTTTCATATTTTTCATAAATTTCACTATATTATTTTTCAGCAAAGAAAAGTCCATATCCCCTTAATTTATAGCTATTTTTAGTAACATTTATGTGTTGTAGTAAATGAGATATACAAAAGATAAACTCTAAACCAGGGTTTCTCAATCTCAGCACTATTGACATTTTGGATCAGATAATTCTTTGCTGTAAGAGGCCTGCACATTGTGGGATGTATATCCCTGTCCTCTGCCCACTGGAAGCCAATAGCACTGCCCACCCAGTTGTGACAACCTCATAGGTCTCTAAACAACCACTGCTTTAAAACTATATAGTTCCATAAAGTGCACAGAATCATCATTGAAAATATTTACTATTATAAACATATTTTCATTCCACTTCAAAAGTGATACTTTTGTTAAGGAAAATAAATCTTATGTTAAATGTGATCATTATCTTTTACAGAGAATTTTAGGAGTGAAGGGGTAAATCTTGGAATGTACTCACATTGAGTTCTAAAACTATCCCAAGGCAATCAATCAGCAACGACACAAGCGTGGCTACAGTGATGACCATCACTGTTACAACAATGTGGAAAACCGACGAAAGATTCCCATCAAAAAACACATTGGCAATTACCTGCCAAATAAACAGATTATTTTGAGAGGGATTTTTAAAGGCATGCAGGATTTGTAGAGGGAGTATTTCACAATGCTCTTTAGCAATGTATAAAATACCACCAACAAGGCTATTAATCAAATCTCAAGTCACTAGGAATGTTCTATCTTTTCCAAAGTACTTACATATAGACACACATATCAATAACAAGTATTCTTTGTTGAACTATTAGTCAGTGGATTACATTACAGACCTATAGTGTGGCATACCGATGTTTCAATACATGTATCTTTCAAGTATAAGAGAGACTTTGGAAAGTTATCTTATCCTTCTTTCTTGAGTCCAACAGGTTACTACTAAAACAAACTAAACATGCTATTTAGATTATTTGCATGGCTTCTAAGAAATAGCTGTCACATTTCCCTTATTAATACTGAATGTGTAATATCCTTTACTAACAAGAAATTAATTCTGTATAAACTAATTCCTATTTGTTACAATTTAAGTCTATTTTATCTTGCCTTTCCTCAACAAAAATGGGAAAGAGTTCATCACCATTTTTCATGACTACTCAGATCAAGAAAGCAATAAAACATTACCGACTTAATGTGTCCCATACTGTGATATGGTTTGCAAAGATAAAATGTCAGGGAAATGATTCCTATTCTCAGGAATTAATTCTTGGAGGCATACAACCAAACTTAAAAAAGCAAGTAGAGATCAATTTATAACAGGACAAAAAAGATCAAAGGGAATTTAGGACTAGAAGGAGCTTTAGGTATCTAGAGCTGTCTCCTTAGAGTAATCTCCTTTACAGCATCCCTGAAATATGCTTGACCTACCTTGGCTTGAGGTAGGGCTTGAAACATGCACAGGATTTGGAGCAGAATTACAGGCTGAGACAAGAGCATGAAAAAGAGCAAAGAGGTAAGAACAGGAACAATACCTATGGAGGATAAAGAGAAGATAGTCTGAATAAGTAGTGACCCTGTGCAAAAGAACAGTGAGACAAGAGTTGGAAATGACAGAAGTTCAGATACTGAGGTATCATAAGGAAGCCATCTCTCTAAGCAGTGCTGCCTAGATATGCAACATCTCCCATGTGTCACATACCACCATGACTTTGTTAATAACTTAATGGTGATATTAATAACATAAGTTGTAATGTCTCTCCAAATAGTATCTTATTTAAGATCTGTTCTTACAGATGCCTCTATGATATCCTTGTGAGAGCAAAAAAATCCCTTAGTGAGGCAACTAGTAAGAGATATTTATTAAGGGTAGACAGCCTTTTTAGTGCTTTTATGAATTGAGACAGTTTGATTATATTTTTGTCAGTCGTACATTTGTGTGTGTACGTGTGTATGCATGTAGAATAAAGAGCAAGAGAAGGGAAAGTTATAGACACCATTCCTCTGCTGAGTCTTTGCTACTGTGGCAGAGATCTTGATTCAGTTCTGTCTTCCTGCCACTGCAGCTGGAAAGGAAACTCAAGTTTCAAGTACTAAAGACAGAAGTTGTGCAGGTGAAGTGACTCAGCCTGTCTGTAGGGAGTTTACCAGCAACCATGTGAGAATGCACCATCTGTTCTTACTTGTTGATCTAGAGATCAGATTTGAACCTACATACTGGGCAGAAGCTAAAATAATACCATTTCCTGAAACTAACAATAGCTAGTAAAGTTTCAAAAGGCTCTTAAATTTAAAAAAAAAATTAGTTCAGTCTATTTCCCCTTTATAGTCAAGGTAGAGAACTGGCCTGTGAGTTGTACATGTGTGAGGGAGAGAAGTACTAGTTGTAAAGGACATACACAGTGCTGAACATTTCCCTCTTCTGCTTCCCTGTGCAGTCAGTTCCTTATCACTGGGACTGACTTAAAGTAAGCCCTGGCTTGCCTCAAGAAGCCTGCTGATTACTTAGTGTATTTAAAGCTCTGTAGATATTTCACTTCCCTCATTAGACCTTTTCACATGGTGTACTGTGTAAACAGCCTCTAGGAGCAGATCCTAGATCTGAGCCCTTTTCAGTGTGGTCCCTGAAAGATCCACTGTGAAGCCAGATCGCGTTTTACTGCTCACTGGTAGAGTGGATTTTCAGCTGACAGCATAAGGGATTCCTGACGGCCATGTTATCTAATTTACACCAAATAATGAATTCTCTTTCAGAAAATATTTCTCTACAAATCCAAGTGGAATATATAACACAATTTAGAGCTGACTTTGACAATATATGTATATGTAAATAATATCCTATATATTTATGTTATTATTTATATTATTATTTTATGTTATGTATAGTTGTAAATATATACATCTACATGTATAAATACATAAATAAAATATATCTGTAAAACTAAAAGTTTCAGTTGCACTTTGGTTCTCTATGGAATATAAGATATTTTAGTTTTTAAAAAATAACAAAACCAGTTAGAATCTGTAGATTCTACAGTGCCTTTAGTACATGTTGACTGATAAAACATCTAATCAAAAAGATAGTTTTGTAAAACAAGTTTTAAACATTGGTACTTAATTTCTTTGTAAGAATGCCTTAAAAGCAACAACTTTAGTTTGGCTGTTGCTAAAGGTTGGCAGTCACTTTGGAATGCAGTTGTATAAATATTTGTGCTCATGGTAATATAAGCCAAATCCACCAAACCTAATTTTCAAACCCAACTTTTGAAAAATTGTCTTGTAAACATCTGAATATAAATTCATCTTTAAACTACATAAAAGACTACATTTTATAGTCAAAACAGAAAATTTTATGAATTATACCATGTGTCATGCCCTTGGGAATTTGCCAAACTGTATTATTTATAAATCTTCCTAAATTAAATGTGGCAGAGAGATCACCCGGGTAAAGCGTTGGGAAGGAACTGTGCTTACCTCTCTCGTCACAAAGCATTCCATAGGGTATGTCAAAATGACAGTGACACCGTAACAAAATCTTCCAAATGTTACCAGGTCATCATTTCTGCAGTAATTTTCAAATAAGTCTCCTAGATAATAATATAAAATAAGTTCATTTACTAGATACTAAATGTTTGAGATAACTATCTAATAAATGAAATATTAGATGTTACAGTCATGCATCACCTAATGGCCCACATATATGATTACAATGCTGTATGTTTACTGTATTTTTCCCATGTTTAGATACATAAATACTTTCCATTCTGTTACAGTTGCCTACATAATTCAGTACAGAAACATGCTGTACAAGTTTATAACCTAGGAGCAATAGGCTATACCATAGAGCCTAGATGTGTCATAGGTGCTACCATCTAGGTTTACGTAAGTATACTGTATGATGTTTGCACAATGAGGAAATCACCTAACAAGGCATTTCTCAGAATGTTTCCCTGTCATTAAGCAACACATGACTTGTAAGTGAATCTCCATAAACTTCATTTCATTTAATTAAGAGAATAGATGACCAGGTCTAAATACAAGTTTTTGAAACCAATAACTATGTACTTTTTCACTGATTTGAACCAGTACATGCTCCATGTGAAGATAAATCCATCACTGATAGTTTTTCTCTTATTATTTGTTTTTGGTAGATTTGCTGCAAATTTGTACTGACTTCTGAAAAACACTTTATCCATTGTCTTCTTACATCAGAATCAACTCCCTAAATTCTTGGGCACTGGCTTTGTAAACTGGTTTCTGGTCTTTGTTTCTGGTGAGTAAGTGACTTCATTATTTTTTAAAAATGTCTGTTAAAATAAACAAATTTCCTTTTGAAATGCTATTCTTAGATCAAGAACAATCCTGAAAGGAAGAGTAGACCAGTACATCTGGGGAGCTGAATTTCCTGTGTATCATGCTATAGGGTTTCATTGCAACCTTGGGGCCACAGCAAGAAATTCCAAACATATGTTGCCTTTCATGGCATCTCATGAACCCAAGGGTAAATGCAGTGATTCAAAACTGTGAAAATATGGCTATGTCCCAGAAAGAACATTAAATTTAATAAGTTCCAGACTAGATGATGGACTAAATAGACCTTGAAACAATTCTTATTTAGAGACTATATTTCTCAGCTGCCTATGAAGAAATACAGGGATCTAACTAGGGCACAGATGTCATGTCATCAAAAAACAATTACCTACAACTGTACAGTAGTCCATGGAAGAAATAAAAAATAAATAAATAAATAAAACAATGACTAATGCCAAAACAGAGTATTTAGGCTTGCTTATTTTCTGAATATAACATCCTTAGATGTTAAAATTAAACTTAATTGAAAATTAGGTCAAAGTCACTCAATACTACACCATTTAAAAAGAAGAAAAACTATACCTCTGAACTGTTTTTTTTTTTTTTCATTACAAAGCTGAATATCCTAAATAATTTGCCTCTTCCCAAGATCTACTTGAAGTGGCTCTCTCCCCTCCCCCCATCAACTAGAACAAATCTACATCACTTTAGAACATCCCTTTTGGGCAGGAGGGGATTAAAACACAAAGGTGGCAGAAACCTGCTTCAAGGTTGACTGAAAAGATTCCAGTACTCTAAGAAAAAAAGACTGAAGTTCCCCGTTCACTAACCTCCACTAAAAAAAATAAGCCCTACCGTCTTTCCGATAGAAATGTCAGGGAGAATCTTGAGTTCCCACTGCCTCAAAAGCTGAAATTTATATACTGAAAGAGGTTAGAAAAGAAGAATGCAGTATACACAAGTTAGACTAGATTTACCCAAGGAGAGGTGGCCTGGAGAAACAATGTCAGCTTATTGCAGCTTGAATCTAAGTATATTTTAAAGAATTACAGCTAGGGGGAAAATGACATCAAACATCTGTCAGCTTTATTTTATAAAGATTTAATTATATCTGAGCAATTACCACTGATAAAAGCTCCAGGAAGATATAACTAACAAAAAAGGTTTATGTCTTACAGAAAAGGCATTTAAAAACGAAGGTCCTGTATGGACCAGAGCCCACAGGCCATTTGCATTGGCAAACTATGTAGCAATAGTGACACATGGCAATGCTTTGGAACACAATTCTTATCAGAACTTTCAAGGTCACTTTGTTACCGCACTCTAGTGGCACATGCATGTATCATATTTTTGACTGCATTTGAATTTTGTTAATCATTATTTTTTGAAGTCATCTTCCTTCATTTCCTGAGAAATATTTGCCTAAAATCATAGTGATCTGTAACCTCTGTTCAGAATAAGGCAGCCATCCTTCCAAGAGCACCCAAGTTTTCAGAAAACTAAGCTAATGGGAGCTGAGGCAAAGGCACAACTTTCAGAGGGTCACGGTTGACCAAAATAGGGGAGGCAGAAAGAGGATGGAAAGAAAATTGAATCTGAGAGTCAGAAGACTTGTTTTCTGGTTTGTCACCAGCCAGCATGAGCGAGTTACTTCATCTCTTTGTGTTTTAATCAGGGGGTAGAACTAGTTATTCCACTTCCCTTCAAAGGGTTATTTGAAGGTCAATGAGATAATAGACCTGCAAGAGCTGTGAAATATGTGAATCGCAGCCTATTGCTGGACTGTCCTGAATATTACACTACATTGATGATTGAATGTAAGGGTCAAGGGAAGTAGAAGAGAGGACTGCTCAGTTGTTGGGCCTGGGTGAATGCAAAAAAAGAGAGAAGTATCTTTGGAGGGAGGAAGAAAAGGTCTGGTTTTAAGGGAAACATAATGTTTTGTGATTAAAACAAATACAGAACAACTGAGTAGAAATGTCCTACAGGCAGCAGGTTGGAGACAAAGAGAAAGCTCTGGGTTAGAGTCAAAACAATGAAAATATCTGGAAAATTGTTTGAGAGAAGAGCAAACAATATGAAGGTCTGGGTTAGAGTTAAAACAACGAAAATATCTGGAAAATTGTTTGAGAGAAGAGCAAACAATATGCTTGAGACCTTTATCTGGGTGGTGTGGGATGGAGTGGAGTGGGAGTTTAGAGAGGGTACAGAAAAAGAAAAGAGAGAAAAAAATTAACAGAGAGAAAGAATAACAATGATAATATAGTAATACTCTTTCCTCTAAGGGAGGAAAATTTGAGCAAAGAAAGGAAGTTTGGTATTGGTAAGTGATTCAGAGAGATTCAGGAGAATCCAAATCGAGGTTGTTTGAAGATTGGGAGGCCACTGGTACCTTTGAAAATCAAGCTGCAGTGGAGGAAAGCCAAAAGTCATGTCCTGGGAAGTGACAGTGTGTAGAAGGAGACAGTATGGGCTACAGAACTAAATTGAGCAGTTTAAAAAGGTAAAAATTAGGAAATAGACAGCAGGGGGCAGGAGGATAGAGAGAATGGGTGGAAGAGAGTAATCTTGGAAATAGAACACTGGGCATACTTGTACAATAAGGAGTAGAACATTGGGTATTCCGGTACCAACGCACATCAACACTATAACTGAATCTCTCACTTTACCTTGGGTGAAGCCAGTAAATGTCAAGTATCCACATGTAGCAAAGAATATACAGATAAATACAGAAATCACGATGGACATATGGATAAGGCGGGACCACTTAGCTACTGTGGGTTCTTCTAAAGAACTGTAAACTAAGAAGGAGTTATGGTGGCAAATAAATGCTGCAATACAAAAAAAAAAAAAAAAAAAAAAAAAAAAAAAAGCATTATTAAAGCAAGCATCAGGGTTTTCTTTTTTAGTTCTGAAATTCAGAGACATGTACTACTTTAGATGCCAATGAACTGCAGTTTAAATATACAAATTTATTAATATGTCAGCAAATAATTTTTCTAATAGTTCTAGAAATGAGACCATTCACTTCAGGTTTATATGGTCTTTTCACGTCACTCTTGATATAAACCAGGCCAGTCCAACCTTCTCTCCCATTTTCCTTTTCCTAATGACCCTTCCCATCTTAAGGAAAATCTAAATACCATCATTTTCATTCTGTGGCTTCCTTTGCCATTTGGGACATAATAAAGGGTTTGAAGAAGTCCATAACACTTGCTAGCTTTCCAAGTTAAGAAACAAGATGACTGTAATGAGTTTTCTGCATGAGAAATAGATTTCTTCAAATTGAAGCAAATTTTAGTGATGAGTGAGAAAAGTTTGAGCCTAATTTTATATTGGCACAAACTAGATCATATGCTGCTAATAGGAAGTCTAAAACTTAGGACATCTGCTATCCAGACATAAATACGAAACATAGCACTTTTTTCATGGAACAGAGAACTCCACATTGAGAAAGGGCCTTTGAAACCAAATACTTACCAAAAGACATAACCCCGACCGCTTGAATGGCATTGGGCTTTGCAAATACCCAAGCATCTTCTGTTTTTGGTCTAGAAGAAAAATCAGTTAACTTGATAAATTATTAAATAAATTCAAGCATCAGTATATCAGATAACAAGAAATAGTATCACAAATATAAACTGAGTGTCTTTAAGCCAGAAATTAATAATGGGCTCCCATTAATCTTGTGTCACCATGAATACATTTCCCAGGAGCATGAGTGTTATCTCTTAACCCCAGTCCTCTAAAATGTATCTCAAATACTTGGACGGATTCTATTTTTACATATATAAAATATCCAGACTCTGTAATCTTGTGAATTTGTTTATTTGCTCATCAATTTAACAGAAAGCACTGATTATACACCCACCAGTGAAGCTACTTTTTGAGGGAGATACAAAAATTAATAATGCCCAGTTACTGATGTTCATTCCGCTCTTATTTTTTTCAGGCTTAACCTACCCAAGAAAAATTTAGTTGGCACTAAAATTTATTGAGGGAGGTAAACATGAACTAATACTAATTGAGGATGTACTATTTTCTAGAAACTCTACTGTGTTATCTCATTTAATTTTCACAATAACACTTAAGAATTATTATCACCATTTAACACATGAAGAAAATCAAGCTCTGGATGGTGATATAGTTTGCCAAGCTTCCACAAATAATGAGTGAAAAAGCTGAGATTTATCTTCTTGGTTTATTCATTGCAATATTTTTTCCGGGCTGTACCATCTGACAGTGGCCTCAAATTCCCACCTGTAGATATATTTCTCAAGGGTATTTTGGAAATATACACACTTTAAACAGTTTGAAACAGGCTACATCCTAGTGGAATTAAAATATTTGATATTGGCAGTGATAGGTGTACCTGGCTAACACACCCCGAGTAATGATGAACAGCAGGGGCTCTAAGGTCATCAGCCTAAATTGTTCTTCTGGCCTCCTTCCACTTATTAGCTGTGTGATTTTAGGCGAGTTATGTGACTTCTCTGTGCTTCAATTTCAACATCTATAAATTGAGGATAATTGTAGTATCTAACTCATTAAGTCACTGTGTAGATTAAATGAGATAAAATATGTAAAACTTCTGGAAGAGGGTTTATCACATAGCATGTGTTCAATAAATAGTCATTAGTATTAATATTATTATCCAGCATTATTAATAAAGGTAGCAAAAAGTCTAAAAGTATGGTCAACTTCCTTGGGAAGGGAAGGCTTGAGTGAGACTCAGAACAATGCATGAAGAATGGAACAGGGAGATTCCTAGGAAGCATGAAAAGACACTGGGTGTTTTCAATAAAAAACAGGAATTCATTCTAAAGATGAAGACCCATCTATTTCATAAGTTTGTTTATTCATTCTCTGTGTAAAGAAGGTACACACAAAAAAATCGTGTTTGTTGTCCACACCTTGTGGGATTTATGCATTATGTTATCTTTTTTCCCATATATGAAACAAGCAGTTACAGACACAAAGAAACTTTACAGAAAGGCTGGCCTGTAAGGGTAGGCCACGGATTGTTATAAGACTTGCTCCAAGTCCCAGTTTTGGAAGTGGGAGCTACTGCCACCTGCTGCCTCCACTACTCTAAATGCAGTCGACATTAAAAGCAGCATAACCTGTTAAATTCCAATGTTAATGTGAAAAAAACACATATTTTGTACATGATCCTTAGAAAATGATTTAGATCAGGCAGCTCTAACAGTTGTAGAAACTTGAGGATTCTCTAACTTTACAATATGTTTTAAATGGTATGCTTTCCCTCTTATGGTTTTTGCACTTGGAAAATATTCCCTCTTACTCCCCAACCCCAGTACAGATTGTGGTGGTGTCCTACTTTTTAAATCTTATATTAGTAATAAAATGTAGAAGTTTAGTTTTCATTTTTTCTCTTCCATTTAAATTTTTTCCCTAGGTCCATATGGTTCCTTGGGTATATTCCCGGAGTGTGAAACAATACCTAGAGATAATTTTGGATTTTCTCTGTTCATCATAATGATGATGATTTTATAAGATGGAAAGTGCCAAAAAAGATGTTACAGATAGGAAAATGCATATGTCTAAATCTAGGGAAAGAGAAGGAAACAGATATTGAGTATGGCTTTCCAATCATTTATAAAATAGCCTACGATTGAGTTCCAGATACAACCAGTTGTACAGGAAAAAAAAAAAAAGAGAGAGAGAGAAGAAAGTTCTTGGGTATATTTTATGAGATTGCTTGAAACTTTGAAACTCAACCTGGATGAAAACATAAAGTTATAGACCTTTTGACTTTAAACTGTAAATGTTGAAATATGAAATAAAATGTTTTCAAATACCATCAAGCAATTTATAAGATAAGGAATTATGACTGAATTTTTTTTTCAATAAATGCAAGGGGAGTTTAATAACAAAATATTATAATCAATATTTATTAATAGCTGTTATATTAATAGATATTAGTGTAATTTACCACATTAACAGATGAAGGAAAGAAGCTTATGACCATTTAAAAATATATAGAAAAGCATACAGCTCAGTATTTATTTTGAAAAACATGCTGAGCAAACTAATAATAAAATAGAACTTGCTTTACTGGATAAGGAATGTCCACAAAATCCTACAGCAAATGACATACTTAAAAGTGAAAAGTTAGAAATATTCTACTTAAGGGATGAAATCAGATAGGATATTCAATATCACTGCATTCAGAATATATTATTGATATTCCTAGCTAATTCAATAAAGTGATGTGTAATCATTGAAAAGATTGTGTAAATTATTTGTGCACAATATAATTACGCATATGGAAAATAAGCATATTCAGCAAGGTTACTGGATGCAAGTTCAATACACACAAAACATCAAGTGGGTGGATGTACACTAACAACAACCAAATAAAATGTTTTTTTAAGTGTCAGTGACAACAAAAACACTAAATACTTTAAAAGATGTGCATGATGTTAATGTCATGTTAAACTTTTATTTAAAGACACAAATAAATGGAGAAATACACCATATCCATATATACAAATGGGAAGACTCAATATCATATAAACATCAATTTACCCCAATTAATTTTTAAATTCAAATATAATAAAATACAGAAAAAAATAAATCAAACAATAAAATACAATATTGAGGCTGGGCATGATGGTTCACGCCTGAAATCCTTGCACTTTGGGAGGCCGAGGCAGAAGGATTGCTTTGAGTTCAAGACTGGCCTGGGCAACACAGGGAGATCCAGGCTCTACAAAAAATTAAAACATTAGCCAGGCATGATGGTGTGTGCCTATACACCCAACTACTTGAGAAGCTGTGATGGGAGAATCACCTGAGCTTGGAAGGTTGAGGCTGCAGTGAGCCATGATCACCCCACTGCAGTCTAGCTTGGTCAATAGAGTAAGACTCTGCCTCAATAAATAAAATAAAATAAATAAAATATTGAAAGAGGGAAAGAAATTTAAAACTCAAAAAAACCCATAATATTAAAAATTATAATAAAGTTAAAGATAATAAAATCAATGAAAGGTAAATATAAAACATCCATATGATGAAATTATTTATATACACATTTAAAAATATACAGGTAAGCTAAAAGCTGGAAGATGACATTGGTCATGCATACACAGTTGTCCCTTGGTACGTGGGAGGGATTGTTTCCAGGACAATCCCGATGGATATCAAAAGCCTTGGATGCTCAAGTCCCTGATATAAAATGGTTTAATACTTGCATATAACCTAAGGACATCCTTCCATATAATTTAAATTATCTCTAGATTGCTTACAATATCCAATACAGTGTAAATTCTATGTAGATAGTTGTCATACTGTATTTTAAAATTTGTATCATTGTTATTGTCATATTGTTATTTTTAATTTTTTTCCAATATTTTGTCCACAGTTGGTTGGGTCTGCACATGCAGAAGCTGTGAATACAGAGGGCTGTGATCAAGAAATAGTATACAGTGTATACACAGTACTCCCCTCTTATCTATAGGGTATATGTTCCAAGATATAACCTTGCAAGGTATCCTATTTACAGCCTAGCAAACGCCCCCTGCCCAAATGAAATAACTTCCCTAGGCCAGGTGTGGTGGCTCACACCCACAATCCCAGCACTTTGGGAGACCGAGGGAGGTGGGTCACAAGGTCAGGAGTTTGAGATCAGCCTGACCAACATGGTGAAATCCCGTCTCTACTAAAAACACAAAAATTAGCTGGGCGTGGTGGTGTGTACCTGTAATCCCAGCTACTCAGGAGACTGAGGCAGGAAAATCGCTTGAACCTGGGAGGTGGAGGTTGCAGTAAGCAGAGACTGTGCCCCACTGCACTCCACTCCAGCCTGGGTGACAGAGCAAGACTCCGTCTAAAAAGAAAGAAAGAAAGGAAGGAAGGAAGGAAGGAAGGAAGGAAGGAAGGAAGGAAGGAAGGAAGGAAGGAAAGATGGAACTTCCCTAAGGCAGAAAATATATTTTAAATAAAATGTTTGAATTTTAATTAAACCCCCATGCAAATTAATAATCAAAAGTTAAACTTGGACACCCAATTAAACATGTGTAGATGGGCCACATAAGTTTATCTTTTCTCTTTTCTGAGACCCCACTAAAATGCTACTGAAGAAATTTAAAAGAGGAATAAATTCATGAGGGAAAGGATAGTGGAAGAAGAGACATCCGAGGAGAAGACACTCTGTGAAAAGGAAACGGGATACTTCTATGGTACCTACTGAGAGTAGAAGATGTTGCAGCCGTGTAGAGGGAGCTCATGATGAGAAAGAGGTGATTCACTTTACAAAACCCCTGTATGTGCAGGACTCAGAGATACCAGAAAGCGACCGAGAATGCGCCAACAAAAGGTGAAAGGAAAGAAAATGGAAGAGCTGGGATCATGGATAGAGGGTATACAACACAAAAAGGAGGTAAAAGGAAGTCCTAGGAGGATCATGGGGGAGCAAAGTGAGAAAGCAATCTGCCTAGAATGGAAGGCAGAACAGAAGGCTCTGGGATGGAGGTTTTCAGGAAAAATAATAAAATTAATAGATTATATGTTTCGGCATCTGGAAAGG